GTTTACGACACTCAGTGTCTCTAACCACCGGTTACCATGATCTTGGGATCTCCATCCAGGGGGCCTAGCGGGACCTATGTGACCCAGTGTCCTGGTTAGGGTTTCATACCTTCATGCCAGGTTTCAGTTTGACCTCCCTTGACCTTTTCTTAATCGCTACATGCTTCGGAAAACATTGCTTGCCGTGGCTATCTATTTGGTGACATACCCTAAACAACGTAATCTATAGATGTCGACCACTTGCTCCAGTGGACGACCATAGCTACCCAAAATTCTGCACCTAACCTCAGCATTGCTCGTCCTTCTGCCCCACCAGATTCGTGCAATGCTGCGTAGACAGCGATGTTCAAACACTGAGTTTATCTTTATCCTGTTTTCTGAATGGCCAAGGTTATGCTTCATATAGCCGAACCGCTGCAGCATACACTCGACCTTCTACAGACAGCCAGACGTCACGACAGCGCCACACATATCTCAAGTTGGCAACTGACAACCAAGCCTTCTGTACGCAAGCAGACACTTCATCCGTGATGTGTCTACCGGATAAGATGTAGCTGCCCAAATGACAAAACTTATTCATTTAATCTATTACTTCCCCGGTTAGAGTGAGGCTGGGTGCTGGACTAACCCAGTCTAATAGTGACACCTCAAACTTTGAAGGTGCAAAACGCATACCCATCATGGATACGCTGGCGCTCAAGCTATTCAGAAAAGCTTGCAACTTACCTGGATCTTCACTTAGCAGCACAATGTCGTATGCATATTCTAGATCAGATGGTCCGCCATCTGGAAGTAAATCGATACCGCTATCCTCGCACGAGGATAAGGCTGTTTGTATAATCGCCCGGAAACACTCGAAATGCAGATGTTTCACAACCCTGCTCCCGAAATGCAACAATGCCCAAAGATATGGAATGGAATTAAGGCTAGAAGTCTAAAATATTCAAACCCAAAACACTTGTCTAATCAGCCTCAGTATGATCCGGGATAGGTGTTTTGGGTTGTGGCTGGTCGCCCTTTCGTTGCACCTGACAAGATGCTCCTATATGATCAAGCGTCTCAAATAGCCTCTGCTGAGGAAGCCCCCACTCACTACCTTCTCATGGTGTAGAAGTTTTCCGCCAAAAAGAAGGGGAAAAAATCCAAGATCAGGGTCGGTGAACCTTTAACAGTTGGCCCAAAACCCCTTGATTCCAATGACACCGGCCCTGCTGTCTTACGGGTCAAGTACGCGTTAGTCATTCGCTCCGGTTGTGAATTCCCCAAGAAAGGTCATCTGTCTGGGAGTGAGCAACCTGGCAATATTCCGCTCGCAAACAAACCACGTAACTATCTCTTTTTTATAAACGTCACTGTTCTGTGATTAGTTCGGCACACAGATTTGCTGGTAAAGGGCACTGAACAGCTACTCCGTCCTAACTCGGCCGCACATCAACAGTTCATACTGTTTATGCATCATTCGGCGCGGGACACCAAACCTCCGGGGCTGGTAGTCAAAAGACTAGCTAACCCTTTTTAGCTACACAGATGAACGGTACAAACCCGTCCAGATGTTTAGTTTGCGTGAGCATAATTAGAACAAACACAGGAACAGTGGTGCACTAAGCAAACAGTCAGTATAATATTATGAAGGAACAGAAGTCGAAGAAGAATACCAGATCGCAATGCTGTATAACACGAGATTGGCAGGGTGCTGTTGTTCTGTTTCATGGAGGTTTCAGCCGTACAGCACGAGTCGTTTGGAATGGTTTCGAAGGGATGCGGGGGAAATAAGTCAAATAGTCATGGTATTAGTAATAATAACAATGATAATTGTTGTTGTTGTTGCATTGATAATGATAATAGAACACATTATACGATACATCCTCTTGTGTGCGTGTGTGCTTGAGAAAGAGAAAGCGCGCGCGCGCACGCACGCAGACTCGTGCGCAGAGACACACTGACTGGAATGGGTTCGTCCGGTCAATATCACAATTCGTCACTTTGTCATGGAATGTGTGTGTGTGTGTGCACAAACAAAGATAAGACAAGATGAGAAAACAACAGAACAAAATTGGAATGATCTTTTTTCTGTAAACTTGGAGAAGCACTAACGAACGGGTGGACAGAACAGAAGGAAGCCAAGAAATGAGGAATGATAAATAGACACCGCACAGCTATTCGCAGCGATGGCACACGTCCGTCCCGTAAAGCTATCTCGATAGGGCATCACGCGGGAGCGGAGACCAAGGGGAGGGGGTGAATAACGACACATGTGGAGGAGGGGAGGACAAGGAATAAGGAAGGACATTCAAGTTCATGCAAAGCCAGATCACAAAGCATACTGAGAGTGAGAGAGAGTTACATTCCATATTGCACAGTCGATGAACAGAAGATGAAGAAAGGATATTTTGGAGCCAGTTAACTGGAGCAAAGAATGTGTGGATGTGATGGGGTGGTTGAGTAGGTAGAAGATAACAAAACCTAACTAATGAAGCTAGCAACTTGGGCAAAGAACAATCCGAAGGAGGACTGTATAAGAGCATACAAAGACCGCAATTCCACAACATTGGTATCAAGGCTAACAATATTACGAAATAGCACGGTACAATAACAGTCACACGATGGCAAAATACAAGCGGTTGTAACATTCAACTGAAGGATTCTGTCGGAAATCCACATATCCAAATGAAGAGGCTGGATCTGTCTTGATTATTGACAGCTTTTCTCCCAACAACCACCACCACCCGGCCCACCTACACATGGAACAACAAACAGTCTCACAAGCACAACCAGGCAATTTGAGTACAGTGTGCAATCAGCCGAATGGGACAAAGTGAAAACCGATCAGGCGGTAGCGGCCGGGGTCAAGAAAAACCAAATAGTTGCAAACGGGTGTGAGAACCCAGTAGTCTACTGGTCCGTCGAGTGTGCGCGCATGTGTCATATGTGTGCGTGTGTGCAAACCCAAAAGTCCACAACCAGGTGAAGGAATGAAGGAGACCGGTGGGTAAGTGGGTGATTGGGTGCAGGTGACGTTAGCGGTGAGATGAGCAACCGAACAATCGACCGGGAAGTGACATTTCCGGATTCCAATAGAAATGAAAGTCGCCTCCACACCGTGACACAGCCGATCAAAGTGACAGGACAGTCCAAGTCTGACTAACAGTAGTCTTCAGAAAGGAAATGAAAAGCTGCTTGTTTGTTAAAAATAGTGCACAGTAACGAAGGAAGGGAGAAAACAGAGTGCAAGAAAAGGGTAACGAGAAATGCATAAGTCGTTCAGAAAAACCGACTAGGAGAACTTGTCACAGTGCGCATTTTTAAAACGGGTTTCCACAAACAACAGGATAATGTCAAAAAGAGATCTGAAAAGCCAGTAGTGCATTATTGGCTGAGATGTTACATGATCGAACGTCGGCAAGAACGAAGCGCGTTGACGCGGGGAGGGGGGGTGAATGGAAGCAGGAGCCAAAACGAATGTCAAATTGACATCAATAAACTATATGCATATCTATGTATAAGTATGAATATATATATATACCACGGGTAGGGGAGGGGAGGGGTGACTGTCATGTGTGGTGAATCAAAATGAGCTAATAAGAGAGTCAAGTACGTGGGTAGTGGTGGGTCGGTTGAGAACGAACACCGAGGGGGAGATGA